CAACATCCAGGAGAGGGATCAACGCGGTCAGAGGTTATAGACTGAGATCCCGTGCATAAAGGATTTAAAAGAAGGGTCACTGAAATCCCACAACAAACAAATCCAGCTTTGTATTTATCCAGTATTTGCTCACATACATGTAGACAAAAATGTTTATTCAAGGTACACGCAGTCATTAAAGGCATCTTGGGATTAAAACGTTTAGGAAAAGAATATTAATTGCCCCCTAAAGCTTTTTATTGTATGTTCAGAGAAACACATTCACTTTATAGTATTTGTCAAATATGACAGTATCAAAACAAGCAGGAACAATTTTCACACATTCCAATCTCAAAATAGAGCAGTTTCATCAATTTCATGAAAATAAAATTGCTGTTGCTGAATTAAGCTAAAATAAGCTTTCCTTTCTTAATTTTGTTTCTATATCTTTTTTTGAAGTCTATGAACTTTGTACTTCAATTGTATAGTCTTGCTATGCCATTAAAGTGTTAACACAAACCACACTGCACACTGACTCTTGATGATTTCACTTAAAAATTTTAACTGAATAAATCTCTTGAACAAAATGTGAGACAGTCTTGGAAGCAGTTTTTTTTATTATTAATATAAATATGCCAGAGTTAGCCTAAAGGCTATTTTTCATCTTTAGTCCCTGAAAATGTTACAACCTCACCATAAAAAAAATACAAAATTACAAAGTATGATATTAAAAAATAAAAAAGCAAAAACATCTGCTGCAAAAAAAGTCTGCATAGTACATTGGATATATAAATCCATCTAGCACAATTCAATGATATTGTTGCAAAAAAACAAACGTAAAATACAGCTTTTGAGGGAACAAAATATGAATTTAACCATGATTATTTTGCTGAAAGTTACAATACAATTCCAAACCCTCACAGTGTTACCAGTGCCGTAACATTTTCAGTCAAAATAAAATAAATACACTTTAAAACTGAACACACTGCAATTTTGTCACAAGACTTTAATTCTGAAAATCCAACGCGTCATCGCCACTACCGGAAGTGGATGCTCGTTGCACATTTATGCTCTTTCTGTAGCTGCTCTCAGTGATTAGCCGTCAGCGGTACCACAGCTTTCATCGCGACATTTTAGATACCAGGACCAGATATGGTAAGTATTTCACTGCTGTATTTTGTATTCTGGTGTATATTATATACATTTGCCTTGTCAGAAAGTCGTGTTTCTTCGGCTGCACTGGCACGTTCAAGAAATATTCAAGTGAGTGATCGCGCGCAGCTAGCAGCAGTGTAGCAAGATAACGTCGAGTATTCACGAAATGAACGAGTTGTGAAGTCTGCTGGAATATTTCTAGATTACTTTCTACAACGTTAAGCACTTAATATAAAGTGAGACTTAAACAAACTTATATTTAAATTCACCCGTCGTAGTAACTGCCTTTGTAAGAAGCATCTAGACGGTTTTGTTTTGGGGGAGGGTTGGAGTCCCAACAGTTGCTGTTTTCAGGGTCTTATGTCAGAGATTCCGTTATCTTTAAGTTTGCTTAGTTCATATGCCAAGCAGGGATGGTTGGATTGAATGTCAGATTAAGATGTCATTCATTTAATAAAAAAAAAAAAAATATATATATATATATATAAATATACCGACTGTGGTAATTTTCCAGCTAGTAGTCACCGCTGGAAAACAATAAAAAATCTTCTCACATAAAGTCTTGGTGTCCGTACCGTTTGTTTTGGTTTAGTTTTTTTAACACTGATGTTCAAAAGTTAGGTGTCGGTAAAGTTTTTTGAAAGAATGAAATGCTTTTATTCTGCACCGATGGATTAAATTGATCAAAATTGACAGTGAAGACAAAGTGTTACAAAAGAGTTCTATTTCAGATAAATGCTGTTCTTTCAATCTTCATATAAATATAAAACTCTCTGAATATCACTAATATCACTGTCAATACAAAAATATAATGGTCTCAATGATAATAATAGAAAATGTTTCTTGAGCATCAAATCAGCATATTAGAATGATTTGTGAAAGATGTGACACTGAAGACTGCGGTAATGGCTGCTAAACATTTAGCTCCATCACAGTAAGATGGATTAAATTGATCAAAATTGACAGTGAAGACAAAGTGTTACAAAAGAGTTCTATTTCAGATAAATGCTGTTCTTTCAATCTTCATATAAATATTAAAATATAAATATAAAACTCTGAATATCACTAATATCACTGTCAATACAAAAATATAATGGTCTCAATGATAATAATAGAAAATGTTTCTTGAGCATCAAATCAGCATATTAGAATGATTTGTGAAAGATGTGACACTGAAGACTGCGGTAATGGCTGCTAAACATTTAGCTCCATCACAGTAATAAATTACACCTTAACCCTTAAACAGGCAACATGCACCACAGGATACATATGGGTGAGGGGATGTACTGTAGGAATCACTGTCTAGAGAAGGGGGACCCCCTTGTTAAAAATCTCTCTGAGGGATGGGGTAGAGGGGGATTGTGAAATGCATCAAGGGGAGGAGATCCCCCCTCAGTAGAAATTGCATACCAGGGCAGGGGCCCTTAGGGATGATCCTCATAGGCCCTCTTGGCCCCCTGTACCCAGTCTCCTTTCTATTTATTTTGAGGTTTAAAAAATTGTGCAAATGTTAATATTTGCATGTAAAACTGATATTAATACATTTAGTTGACTACATCTTTGCATTTTTAACTCGATTTTTTCCAACCCTGCTCCTGGAGGGCCACCGTCCTGCAGTGTTTATCTCCAACCCTGATCAAACACACCTGAAAAATCTGCAAAGTCTTCAGGATTACATAAAAAAAATTACATGATACATAAATCACATTAAATGATTGATTAGAGATGGAGGAGATCTAGAGATAAGCCTGTCCCTGCAGGACAGTGGGCCTCAAGGGGTGGAATTGCCCACCCCTGAGGATGAAGACGAGACAGTTCAGCAATGTAAAAATACAAGAAATGTCTATGCCTTAATTTTAGGACACTTAGACATGTCATACATGCAGCATATTTTGAATATTACATATTTGTTTGCATCAAATAAATCATAGAATTATTGATGACTTGAGATGTTTTTTATTCCCTAATAGGGCAACGTATCCTGGGAAATACAACTCCAAAATAATTTTCTCAAAATCATACAAATCAGAACATTTTAGTTCACAGTATGTCCTTTCTGTTAAATTATTTCATGATACTCAGACCTGATTGTGTTTGTAAACTTAAATAGATGCTTGACATTTTGTATCCTGACCAAGACTAAAAATTTGTTTTTGTCCTAAACAACTCCTTTGTTAAGGAGCATGGGTAAAGTTTCAGTCTAAAAGGAGCTTTTAGAAAACAAATGTGAATCACATTATGCAGCGCAGCATGACCGTCCTGTTTTTCAGCTCTCAGCAGCACACTGTACTGTGGCATGAATGTCCTGTTTATCAGCTGCACTGTTAATTGTTCAGATAAGAACTTGCTGAACAAATCCTCTGAAATATTCAACTCTTTTCTTTACCTGTTGTACAAAAATGTTAATTTTTCATTCTGATTTGTCAAGAATCTGATCAACATCTGCCCTGTATTGAAGCATGAACCTACTGTAATTGTGTAATTACTGAGACAACTAGGTTACTAATACCTTTTTGATTGATATTTGTGATCATGTTTAGTGCTGATATTGGAAACCCCAAACAGTTTCATTCTGTTCTGTGGGTTACATGGTCTACAGAGTAGTTGCAATGTTATTTGAAAGTACTTACCAACTTGTGAGGATGTGTATGCATTCTGTTTATGAGAGTTGCTGGGTAACTAAGGAAACAGCTGAGCACAAAAGTTTAAAGTACCAACAAGAACACAATAATACTAGTTACAAGTGTAAGATAAAGCCACAACATTTTCAATTTAGTAACAGATTTGCAATTTAACCACAACTGGCATGGCCAGTCTAACTTGATCCGTGCTTCTTAGCCCAATTTCTTCATTGGGAAATTGCACTATATATTGGCTCTTAGCCCTCTCAAATACTTATAGTTGTGATTTCTAACATGGTGGCGATTTTGTATGCATTTGTGTGGTTCATATGGAAACATGTTTTCTTTTTTTTTATTTAGAAAAAAGGAAGCGAGATCTAGAGATACTGGAAGATCAAGTTGTGACATTTCGATTAAAGATCATGAGGGTTAAAATAAATAAACAAATGAATGGATGAATTGTTTACAATAAGATGATTAGGGTGCATTTAGTAAGCATAAGGAGGATTTTCATTTCATGCTTACTTTAACCTTTTCAGGCCATTTTGCAAATGTTAACATGATAGATGGGCCTATACCGTTAACAGAGGCTGAATTCATAATCACTCACCCCGCACCACATACACATAGCAACAACCCACAACACACTACCAACCAAATAACAATCCCTTGGCGACACCAACACCTTAGTATTTGTGGTGGAGAGTTTTGCATGGACAAGCAACACTAAAAATGTAGTTAGTAAGTCATTTTTACAGTTATATAATATTTGAGCTGGTGGTACAACCTGGTCATGTCTGGTTGACCACACTGGCTATAATATTATAGGGACTTTGTTTACTTGGTTAACCAGGTTCCAAAGCTGAGACTGGACTGGTTTACCAGAAAAGGTTTGCATGGGCTATGTTTATATTCCCAGCAGAGACTGTTATTTATAATATTAACTGAAATTAATGAAACTATAATGTACTGCACTTTGTTCTCAGAAACAAAGACAACAGCACAACTGTACACATCTGCATTTCATTCAACTGAATGGCAAAAGCAGTATGAAGTTTATTATCTTTACGCGCGCTCTAGCAGTCATTAATAAAAGCCGCGCGTCTTCGAGCTTACTTTCACATTCCTCTCTGTGTCCCTTTCATTTTCAACAGCAATGAGTGTTTGGGGTTACGAAACACCAGTGTGTCTGCGCTGGTCATTTTTGGCGCACTGTGTCTTTAAACTGTGGCGGCGGCCCTGCGCCTGCAGCACAGGAAACCCCGTCGCGGCTTTCACAGGGGACCCAAGATGGCCGAATCTTCACAGTGGGGCTAATAATTACTTTTCGTCAAGACGCTGCTATTTCATGGTGCTCGACGGTCGCGCTGGCCATTCGCCGTCCCGGAAAGTGAAACGAGCGAGTCTATTCGATTAGTTACATAGGGGGATGTTTATCTATGTGTGAAGAGACTGGCTGGTCCATCCGCGGCCCTTAGCCAGAATATGGCGGAATACTTGGAGAAAATATAGCTTAGCTTATTATGAACGTGCCGCTTTATACACGACCCTTCCCGCCTTTTCACCGACCGCGCGCGAGTATAACGATCAAATAGCGTTATCGGTACGTCTTTGGAGTTCATTCGCGCGCGTTTCGAACATTTCTGGGTTAAAATGACTCGCGCCAGTAGATAGCCTGCTAGCTGAGGCGCTAGCTACGCTAACCCCGTTTGACTGAATTAGTCGCAGCGTTAGCATAGCCTAGCTAGCTTAAAGTAAAGGGGCACGGAGGAAAAGAAACACATTCTGCGTTCGTGTTCTGGCTGAATGCTTTTAAACTCATTTCTCACCGTTGCACGGCCTTTAGAAACGGAGGAGCGTTTTTCGTGGTTGCGTTTATAAAAAGTTCAAAGTATTGAGTATGTTGTGGAGAGCCTCGGCTGCACACAGCAGCTAGCTGACCACCGCTAGACTGGTCAGAATAATTCTTCTGGACTGCATGCGTTTACTGTGATAGACCCCACAACAACATACTGCATCAGCTTCGCGACAGCTTGCCAGTGAATGCCATACATTTCAGCTTGAAGTTGACCGCAGATTCTGTTGCACCTTGCTAACCGAGGACGTTGAAATTTATTGAATCAAGGGCAAAAGCCGGTTTGAGAGTTACTTGCAAGGATGACTGACACTCGTAGACGAGTAAAAGTGTACACTCTGAATGAGGACCGCCAGTGGGATGATCGGGGGACGGGACATGTGTCATCCGCTTACGTGGAGCGGCTGAAAGGCATGTCTCTCCTGGTGCGCGCCGAAAGTGATGGTATGTTTTAAAATATTACAGAGATGATGTACAGGGCCACTTTTCGTTGACTGTGCAAGTAAGATGTGCCCGTTCTTTAAAACAGGGTCACTGCTGCTGGAGTCCAAAATCAACCCTAACACCGCCTATCAGAAACAGCAGGTGCGTTTGAAATGCTGTGACATGATTTTGTTGACAGCTCATCAGCGTTTTTGTGAACCTCATTCATTAGTATGTGCTTCTTAATGTCTTGGTTAAAGGTCAAATACACATGTATTAAGATGCGAGACATCACAGGTGAATTGGGAAAGATATTACATTACAGGTATCACCATGCTTCCATAGTTAATCACATTACAATAACATTAGAGCCTTTGTTTGTAATAGAGCGGTAATATTTTCATTCTTTAGACAAGGTATTAAAAAAAGTTTGCATCTTTTGAATACACCAGGCATTTGTTGCACTTATCGAATATAAATGAGTTATTTATATAGACAAAAAGTAGATGCAGTTCTGATAGCCTGTAATGCAAATCAGTGAGATTTTTATAACAGTATAGCAGACTATTTGCATAAATGCATATAATATCAGTTTTCACTTTATATTTCCTAATATGTTTTGGTTAAAGGTCAAATACACATGTATTAAGATGCGAGACATCACAGGTGAATTGGGAAAGATATTACAGATACAAAGATACATTACAGGTATCACCATGCTTCCATAGTTAATCACATTACAATAACATTAGAGCCTTTGTTTGTAATAGAGCGGTAATATTTTCATTCTTTAGACAAGGTATTAAAAAAAGTTTGCATCTTTTGAATACACCAGGCATTTGTTGCACTTATCGAATATAAATGAGTTATTTATATAGACAAAAAGTAGATGCAGTTCTGATAGCCTGTAATGCAAATCAGTGAGATTTTTATAACAGTATAGCAGACTATTTGCATAAATGCATATAATATCAGTTTTCACTTTATATTTCCTAATATGTCTTGGTAAGATAATGTTTAAATAATCAAATCTCTATATTTATTTGTGGGGTGCAAAACATAATGCAATTCAATGATTATTAAGAGATAGGCCTAAATAAATGAGTGCAAAAAATGTTCCACTAAAGCTTGATGTATGATATTTGATTCTTTCATTTTAAAATGATTTTTCTATGAAAATTTGTATGGATAATAAAGTAAAAATAAGTTGCTTCAGTCCAATAAATGTTCATCTTGAATTATTACTAACAATATAAAAGTTATTCTTACATTTACTTCACAAACATCATTTCACAGGAAAAAGACACAAAGGTGAAGGTTGACATTTTTAGAATTATACTAAAAGGCCTTTTACTTGCTAAAAAAGTATAAACTATCAATCAGTCGGCATGTAGTTGATTGTGTACAACAAGTTTTCTGTTTTGACCATGTTGATAATTTAGAGACATTAGAAATTAATGTATCTCAGATGATACAGTAGGCTTTATAGGGTTAAGACGATTGTTTTGTTTTAAAATTGGATAAAGCGCTTCATAAGTCAGACAATAGCCAGGAAAAAAAGTACATTTTGTTGTTTTAGGAATAGATGGTTAAATAAATCAGGTGAATGATATATAAACAAACCCCTCTGTAAAAACCTTTAAAATATAGGAATAAACCTGGAAAGATATGTATCGTAATTGAAATCTACAGGTGCAAATATATCAGGTGTAGTAAAATAAATACTTAAATTTGTATTTTGTTTGTTTTCTTTTTGCTAAAGATGTTATGAAAGCAAAATTTTTAATTTGACCTGTGCATGAACAATGTTTTTGCCTGTTGCAAATGTTTTTAGTGTCTTGCATTGAACTTTAGATCCCTGTATGATAGTGCTTGTATATCATATGCTCTTTTAGCATTTGTTGATGTTATTTGTGTTTTGTCTTTGAAGGACACATTAATAGTATGGTCTGAGGCTGAAAACTATGACCTAGCTCTCAGCTTTCAGGAGAAGGCTGGTTGTGATGAGATCTGGGAGAAAATATGTCAGGTGATTATGTCTGTGATGTACATTTATAATATTTTCTCTAGGTATGTTCTGCATGTTGGTGTAGTGCTTTATTCTGAAAGCCTTTATTTTTGTGTCTACAGGTGCAGGGAAAGGACCCCTCTGTAGACATCACCCAGGAGCTGATAGATGAGTCTGAAGAGGAGCGCTTTGATGACATGTCCTCTCCTGGTCTTGAACTTCCGCCATGTGAGCTCTCCCGGCTGGAGGAAGTGGCTGAGCTGGTGGCGTCATCCTTACCTTCTCCGTTACGGCGGGAAAAACTGTCCCTGGCGCTGGAGAATGAAGGTTACATCCGCAAACTGCTGGAGCTGTTCCGAGTGTGCGAGGACTTGGAGAACCGTGAAGGCCTGCATCACCTCTATGACATCATCAAAGGCATTTTCCTCCTTAACCGCACAGCGCTTTTTGAAGTCATGTTCTCCGAAGAATGCATCATGGATGTGATCGGATGTCTGGAGTTCGATCCGTCGCTACCCCAACCACGGCGGCATCGAGAATTCCTCACCACCACGGCACGGTTTAAAGAGGTCATTCCCATTTCAGACCCGGAGCTGCGGCAGAAGATTCATCAGACGTACCGCGTGCAGTATATTCAGGACATGGTGCTGCCCACCCCCTCTGTCTTTGAAGAAAACATGCTTTCCACGCTGCACTCCTTCATCTTCTTCAACAAAGTGGAGATTGTTGGCATGCTGCAGGTGGGTTTTCGTATTCAACCATGTATATGTGACCAGTTGTGAACTTTGTACAATGGCGGTTGAGTTGAAATGCTGTTCAGGGGCTAAACTAGGTGAAAGAAGCTGTAGATTAACTTTTAATGCCACGTTATAACATATCTCACAGGTAACATACATTGTCAGGCTTGCTATGTGTCATTGTAGCTTTTCAACACAATTTTCAGACCAGCATCGTCCCTCTCAAATTCATTGCATCCTCAGCAGAAAACTGTTTACAGAGAATGCAGTGAATACGTTTGCATGTTTGTGATGCAGCTATTAATACTTCCCTGTTTGTATTGCCTGAGACCATCTCATTGCTCTTGATGGGATGCACATTGTGGGCTGTACTTTGGTTCTTTGTTGTAAAGGTCATATATATATGTGTATATATATATATGTGTATGTTTTGCACACTAAAAGGTCTGCAGATGTAGATAACAGATTTAAAGATAACCGTGCTAACTGCTTTTTCAGATGCATTTAATGAATGACATTTAATCATTTAGTAGAAAATCAGCAACAGTATTTGCTTCAATGGTGAGTTTCAAGAGTGGAGTAATTATAGTCAATGTAATTAATTTCATTTATTAAAGGGGTCATATGATGCAATTTCAAATTTTCCTTTCTCTTTGGAGTGTTACAAGCTGTTCGTGCATAGATAAGATCACTAAAGTTGCAAAGACTAAAGTCTCAAACCCAAAGAGATATTCTTTATAAAAGTTAAGAGTCAACCACACCTACCTAAAACGGCTCGTTCTAAAACGCCCCCACATATCTACGTCACGATGTGGGAAGATTTGCATAACGCCGCCCAAATGTTCACGCAAAGAAAGAAGGCATAACTTTTATTCTCGCTGTAGTGTTGTTGTTGCCGCCGACATGTCGTGGAGACGCTGTTTCTCGTTGTGAAAGCAAAACTACTTTGTTTGGCCTTCCAAAAGAGGACGATAGCCGCTTCGAGCTGATCCATGCTGGTCGCTGAGGAAATACATCAACTTCGCGCTGTGGATCGTCGGATATGCTTTCACCGTGAACGAAGTGGAGTCCAGCCCGGGGTCGTCACATGTGGTTGCCGCAAGCCCGCTGGCCGCTCCTTCGTCGAATCCGCCGGCAGCGCCGTTCTCAAGCCCGCCGGCTGCTGCTCCCTCTAGCCCGCCGTGTGTGATGCTGTGTTTCTCGTTATGAAAGCGAAACTACTTTATTTGGCCTTCCAAACAAAAGACACGACTAGAAATCAGTGGTTAAGTTGTATTTACAACACTGTTCCAGAACAGTTCAACTAGGGCGGCACAATTAATCGAATTTCTAATCGCGATTACAGTTATGGATGCCACAATTACTTGATCGTTCAAAGTGGCAATTAATCGTTCAAAGTCCACTTATGTTATTCTGCGTGCTTAAGATGTGTTTTTTTCTTTCTACATGTTATCTTAAGGGTTTTCCCCATTATTTTAATTTTAGTTTTAGTAGAACATTATAATACCATTCATATTTTTACTTTTTTATAATTTAAAGAAAACAATCCGATGTATAGTTGACTTTTGAGGCTTAATACTATAGAAAAGCACAAAGTTTTTCAGTTAGTGTTTTCAGCTTGTTTATTTTCATATAAAAACATGGCATGCAGTTGCATCAAACAATGTTATAAACATCATTCAATGTAAATTGTGATAAATGTAATTAATAATCGCAATTACAATTTCAAGGGAATAATCGTGCAGCAAAGTTCACCCCAAATATTCAGATGTGTGCAGCGCATTTTATGGAGGACTGTTTCCTGATCCTGCAGAGTAGCCTACAATGCGTCTGAGCACAAAGGCTGTTTCTATAAAGTGGGGCAGTTCCAACTTTGCAAGGACAGTCTGGCGCCTCTGACTCACAGCCTGTAAGTAAGTTTTTTTTTTTTT